TTCCTCTGAAGTCTCAGGGTTTAGCCACTGCTGGAGGCATGATACCAAACTTGATGGACCAATAGTCTGATTCAATATGGCAATTCCTCTGCTCCTTGTATTTTTCAAACTGGCTTCTGTGTGCACATGCCCAAGTGGATGATTTATCGCCTACTCTGAGACACGCTTTTTGCATAGAAAAGGGCAGGATCAAACACATTTTCTGTGTTTGTGTGTGTGTGTGTGTGTGCATATGTGTCTAGAGAGAGACAGATATGAAGCAGCCGATCAGTACTGTTTTCCTTCTCCACTCTGAATTTAACCCAGAGTGTAACTCTCCTCCTTTAACAGGTTGATTTTATTTTTCCAACTTTTCATTCAATGCTACATATATTTCCAGGCTTTCTACTTTTCCAGTTGGTGTTCAAAGTAAAGGAAAGAGTTAGAGGATAAGTATCCTTGCTTTGTATGTTTATTTCCTTCACTGCTTTTCAGGCTCAAGGAAAATCCCACCAATGCCTTTCCAGACTCCAAGCCTGACACTTGAGTTGATTTTTCCCCTTAGTTCTGCACTCAAAATGAGTGCAGTTTTTTTGCAATATTAAAAATGAAAAGTCTTAATCTACTGGGAAATCCTTTGATCCATAAAATAAGTTTTCTTTTTTTTGGTCCTTTTTTTTTTTTTTTTTTTTTCTTTTCCTTATCTGTAAGCTTTTGAAAAAGATTTAGTTTAGCTTAGCTGAAAAGGCCCGATGACAGAAGTTTGAAAATGTCACCCTCTGGAATTGATTATTTTTAAAGAAATGAGTGAGGTGTCATTACAACACATTGCCATCAATTTGTTTTTGTGACAAAACTTCAGACTCCATTCTCCTACAGGAAACTTAAGGCAAAAGCAAGTGCACACCCATTGGAAACATAAGGATTATTCTCTAGGCTCATCCATCCCTGCTTCAATTACAAAAAGGCACAGTGGATTATCCTTCCATATCTATCCATCTTCTAGATTTGTTTACATAGTCCTCAGCTGTGTACTTTTTAAAATTTGGAGTTCTGGTAATAGGATCAGTAGAGGAGATTCCTATCAAATCCCTAACTATCCATTGGAAGGTCACAGAGACTACCATTCACTATTATGAGCCTAGAGGAACTAGATGAGCTTTCTTTCTTTCTTTTTCTCTTTCTTTTTTTTTTTTTTTTTTAATAAAAACTCCAGTTACATATGCACAAAGAGTCAGGAAAAAGAATGGAAGCAAGCAAACTGCATCTAGCATCAGAGGTACCACCTACAAAGAAAAGTTGAGAATAATAGAGTGCAAATAAAATAAGGGGAAGTGAGGAAGGGCATTAGAGTCTGGAGTTATTCCGTAAAGATGTAACAACAACTTTGTGTGCTTGATTCTTAAGAGACTACTTAAAAATATTAATAAAAAGTGATAAGAATTGTCTAGCATTTAAATTCTTTATCTGAGACACAAAAGCACAGGCAAAACACAAATCAAAGTATAACTTCTTGCCTTCGACACAATACAATGAGAACCAGTATGTTGTTATGTAGTACATCATAAATATCTAGGGATAAACACAAGAGACCAAAAGAAGAAAGGATGGATCATTTTTATTTTACTTTTTTTTTGTTGCTTTTATTTTTTTCTTTACCATTTTGGTTATGTTTTGCTCTATAAAAACAATTATTATTCTTCTCATGCAACCACTATTGATGTGAAATTATTGCGTAAGTGAAGATTAAGGGATCCATTTCAGCAGAGAGGCAGCCCTGTTTGTACTAGGTGCTATAGAGACTGGTGAATGAGGATTTCTCACACTGGTGCTGAGTGTGGAAACAAATATATGTGAAAGCAGACAGAAAATTTAACTGCAAAGAGACCAATGTGACTTTCCCTCTCATGCCCCCAAAATGCAATAACCAACTGTGCTCAGCTTCATTGAAAACATTGCATCCTTTTTCCTCGCGCATGGGTGGGCACTTCATGATGCTAAATAGGACATTTTGACTGCTCATATCTGCACCTTGAGGCCTACCAGATCTGAGGGCAAAGTAGTGCCTGCTCATTTGACTTGCACAGCTGCAAAGCTTCCAGCACAAATGCTACCTTAATGCTCCTGCACAGGGGCTGGATGTGATGGCACATTGCTCAGTTGAAGAGGAAAAATAAAGAGACAACGAACTCCCAAGCCTTAGTAAAGTGAGCCACCCTCCCCAAGCCTATGAGATTAAAGCAATGGATTTTCAAGTAGTTCTTCAGAGTGACTAATTTATATGGATATCAAGGATTCAGTTGGAGAATTAAAAAAAAGTAGCTAGGGGAAAATATGATGCTCTCTAAGTCCCAGTGGTATGCCACATTCATTTTACTAGAGAGTTTATTCTTTAGTACTTTCATGGATTGACATGAGGGAGGAATTCGCATGTCAGGACAGATAAAATCTCCCTCCTGCCAAAGGAGTCTATTCAGACATGCATGTTAGTAGGTTGATAACTTATTCTGTATTGCAGAGGACTCAAAGATAGACATTTCTCCTTTTATCTCCATCTCTGCGCTCCCTGCATACTAAAGATACGGGGAAACAGCAAGATACATCTTAACTAGCCCTCTCAGAGAGGAGAGACTTTTCCTAGTCCATGCCAAGAGATGCAAACTTAAAGGAATAAGGTGTCATACAGACTAATAGCAAATACATTAGCAATGTTTATGCGCATAATTAGAGCCCAGTGTGAATATCTCTTTTAAAACAATACAAACCCTGGACTTTGTGGTTATTTATTTATATTCCTCCCCCCTTCCCTCCCCCCCCCCCGAGATAAATACTCAATATTTCAGTGCAACTGTTTCCTATGACTCTGCTCTAGAGATGGGGAGATGGGGAATAGGTTGAGAAAATGGGGGACTAGACTAAGTGAAATGTGTTGAAGAACCCATCTTTGATATGCTTTCCAACTTCTAATGAAACCTTAGTGTTTATCTGGGAGATAGACCCATTCTCCTTCTAAAGACAAGGAAACTGAGGCAAACTTATTCCTTGACCAGTACCACAGAATTATGTCTCCTCTACCAAATGGAGTTAAAATGCAGGAGTGGTTACTCTGATGCTTGAGCTGATCATCTCCACTGGATATGCTTTTTATATTCTTGGAAGGTAAAGATGGTGTGATTTTAGGGAAATTAATTATTTGGGCAGATTAAATTATGTGAGTGTCATTCCCAGGATCCTGTTTAGAACATGGAAGATGGATACCCTCCAGAACATAGCTCAGAGCACCTCTGAAAGGCCCCTTGGCAGGACTTTTTTCTCTGCCCTTCTTCTTCTTCAAGAGGACACTGAGTGAGGAGCCTCCTTCTCTGGATACTGTGGGGTACTTGTGGATATGAAACAAATCAGATGGACTAGGAGCTTCTCTGCACTTTCTTACATCCTTACAGCTCAGTTCCCCATAGCAGATTCCTCTTATTTTTAGACAGCTCCTATAAGTACATTGAGATTAAAGTGGTTTAGAAAGCATTATATATAGATGTGTATACATACCTCAAATATTTGCCTAGATGTATCTTATCTAAACTTCTGCATGCATCTGAATTTCCCAGGCTTGAACTATGGTTTGTGTAAATTGATGTTGTTTCACTGTCTTTGAGTAAGCTTATTTACGTCAGCTCTGGAATTAGTCCCTAGTACTCCAGCCAGCACTTAGCTGCAAGAGTCAAAATAACATGGAGACATACTGTTTTCCTGTTATCTCTAAACTCACTAAAAACAGAAGCTATTAGAAATATTGTGAGAAAACTATATTCTTGCAAGAGTTGCTGCCCACTTAAGAATTTTAGATTGGTATCTGTAAGAATGTGCAGTTGTACCAATCCCCAAACTTTAGCGTAGTTTTCTTTCACTTAGTTGTAACTCATTTTGACTTGCCTATCCTAGCTTTGAGAGTTTTTAGATCAAGTCATTTCAGACATCTTCAATTTTTTTTTCATCATGCTTCATTATTTGCATGTATATTCAAGATTCTTGAATGAAGAAATGTAGCATAAGAAAAATCTTGATGAAAATTCCATTTCCTTCCCCCCTCCTTTTTTTTTTTTTTTTTTTTTTTTTTTAATGCAGTCTATACTGTGGTCCTTTCTAGATGATGTTTTAATTCTACCTAAGGTCCTACCCAACATGATTCCTTTTGGAGCAATAAGACTTTCCCAGAAAAGACTTAGTGAGGTAATGATTCAGAGACATAGACAGACAAATAGACTATTTGTTTCAACTTAATTATTAATGTAGTGTTATCACTAATGATAACACAAAATGACATACCTTCCAATGAATTCTGCTCTATTTGTGTACCACTTAATATAAGAGTAATTTTTTTTATAAACCATAGAAGATGACATCTCAGTATAGATAATTGCACAGAAAGGGTAAAGAAAAGGGGTGCAAGGAAAGGTAACATAATTGATTGATGTAAATTCAGTCATACATCATAAAAATTCCACAGTTGCTTCTGTCTTTCTTTATTGAATAATTTTTTCCTGTTATTACTGATCAACTAATACATCCTTTAGTGATAAAGAATAATGTAGAGAAAGACATTTCAGCAAGGTGAGCTCAAAACTGCGATTTCAGCTTTGAATTGTTCTTTTCTATTGATCTTCCTGTAATTTATAACCATTTCCCATCAGAAAGTTCTCTCCTGCTTTACATCAAGCAAATTTGGGGCACAGTTTCATCCTTACGGAGAGCACCTGCTTTTTGTCCCATGTGAAAGGAGATTAGTCTCCAGCTATGTGAATTTGCTGCCCGTTGGCTGTGTTCACCATAAAACCAACCAAAACATTCTGCATGTTTTTAGGTGGAATTGCTCAGAGATTTGTAAAATGATTTTGATCTTGGATCTGAGCCTTCCATTAAAGTGCTTGACTTACCTTGACCACTGTAATTTTAGAAAGCTGACCCTTCTCTCTTGCAATTTACACAGTGTTTTTAGCCTAATGCAGAATTTCCCTCTTCTGCAGCTGGGAGGAGAATATCCATCATTTCCAGATGTGGACATATGATCCAGGAGGCAATTGAAGGTATTTTGAAATCATATGGTTTGGTTTATGAATTTGGATTGGTCAAGAGAGATTTGCTTGAAATCCTTGAGAGAGTATGGCACCTCGCTGACTTGAGAGGCATTTTAAAATAAAACCTGAAGTTAAATGCATTTTATAGAGAGGCTTAAAACTTCTAAAATATAAATCTAAAATATTTATACATGGGCTGCAATGGAACAGAAGTTACGACCTCATATGTGAATGTCTAGGATTTGTTTTTTCCTTCCACCAGCCCACCTGGAATGACTTTAGCTTTCAGCTTTACCTCAGGCTGTACCCAGGTTAGCTTCTAGTGACTTATGACTCCATCAATCTGCACAGATATGTGCTGTGCTCCTTCAAGGGAAGCTGTTCATCTTCTATATGACTGCATCTCCACCTCTTCCAAAGTTCAAAGAACCCAGGACAATTGCTTATTCGGACGGGCTTCCAGTAAGTATAAGAGATGCTCTCCCTGCCTTCCCCTGTGAATCAGGACTTTCTGGTGAACTTTGATAGAGACAAAAACTTTCAGAGTAATCCATCCCCTGTTGAACTAGAAAGACGTGATGATGGTGATGAAACATCAGGTGAGATTGCTCAGTATGTTTTAAGGAGCTTTGAACTGGAAATGGATCAATTTAGAGCTCTTTTCTAAAGTCAAAGGAGCACATTTTTTACGATCCATTTCCCATGAACTAACAACTGTTCCCTATCCAGCAGACAGTTTACTTGTAGCTATTTTGACTTGCATTATTCCACTTAATGAAGATAAACATAAGTCAGACACAGGAAAGCCACAGAATGACTACGAATGGGAAGCGTTCCAAGTATTCAGCATTTACTAGACAAAATTGGCCAGTAATTCTTTTTGCTTTTCACTGAGGATAAAAATCCCTGAAAGATAATAATCATCATTGTTTGAACTAATATAGCACTTTTATCCAGTGATCTGAGAACACTTCCCAAACATACTGTACTGAGAACAGCCATGTGATTAGATTCATATTATTTAAAATACCTGTTTTACAGACAGACAAACTCATGGGTCACCCAGAGGTACCATGACTCCCCATGGGTCACAGAGTCAAAAGAGTACAGAAGATTTCTGACTGCCATTTCTATGATTTCAGTGACATTGCAAAGAATGCCTAATATTGCTTACTCGAGTTGCTTAAATTATTCATATTACAGAGACTTTGGGGATGAATACATTTTCTGCTTACATCCAGCTTTTTAAAAAATTGATTCTTTTTCAGTGATTATTTGCATGGTTGTACACTGGGATATTTTGTTGTGTAAACTTTTCATCTTCATGATGCTCAGGATTTTTAATTGGTGGATGATTAGTAATGTAGATCAAATGTTATTCTTTCTATTTTTCTTACTCTTGATTAGATTAGTATATTTTTTTTTTTTTTTTTTTTAAGCCAGAAAAGAAGAAATGTCAAATATTTAATACATGCAAGACTACCTTTGTGAGAAAATAGCCACTTTCCTGGTAGGAATATTCATCCCCTAAATCTTTATCTAAACAAAACCTACTTGCCTGTATGTTTACAAATAGTAAGGCATGGGTGAAACAAATGTTCTGAATTAAGATGGGTGTTAACAAATGCTATAGTTTACTCAGTTTCAGTGACTGTACAATTAATAAGCGATGGTGAATGGACTTGAATAATACAATCTCTGCCACTGGAGACGAATCAATGAAACCATGACTCTTCACACTCTTTCCGTCTTCAGTCATCAAATGACTTATTAAAATTATTTAATATCTTTAATTTTAGGTCTGTGGTTTAAGAAGTTACCTAGTCTTCTCCTGCTCATGCTCCACTAATGATAGTAAGTTGACTGTGATGTTAACACTGAAATCATTTGCACAGACAGGCTAAATAGATCATGCCCTTCCTGAGCCTTGAGTCTATATTTTACAAACAGCACCATATGGTTAATATTTATGCCAACCAGTCAAGTGTTTATTAAAGCAGAGTCTGGGGAGATGAGGAGGAGAACTGCTGTCTTCAAAAGTCATTGTTCTGGTGGACTTCAACTCTTTTGTACTACAACCCTTTGTAATGTGACAGGAACAAATCCATGAAATCAAGCTCTGAATAATCAGACAAGTTTTAAGCTGGGGAAATAAAAAGATGGAGGTACAGTTAGGCATCCACTTGTGGACCAAAGGCATCTAAAATGTTATTTAGGTTACATGCTGAGATGACTGTTGATTTATAGAAGCAGTGGGTAGAGTGCTGACCTGGGATTTAGGGTATCCAGGTTTTACTCTTGATCTTGAAATTTTTTGCTCTCTGACCTTGAACACTTCACTTTCTCCTTCTACTTTATCCTCACATCCTCAACTTGATTGCAGAGAATAATTCCATTCAGGGCTTGTCCTTCCAAAAATACATTTCCAATGTCTACTTCAACAATTTGAATAAACCTTGACCTGAATTGGGACAAGCAGGTTCTTTGAATTATAGCAGCATACAAGTCGGCATAAAACTGGAGTCATTTAATGGGGAAGGTCTCAGTGTTTTAATTAGAAAGCTTAAAACTACTTCTTTATTCTTTCACATAAAGTTAGATTTGAAGCAGATGATCAAAATTTATTTATGCATGCATTCAAACAAGACAACATTGTGAGAAAGCTTAAAGTTTTGTGTTTAAAAAAAAAAACACACCAACAACACTATTTGGGAAATGAAGTCATCTGCAGAAAAAATACTGAGACAACAAAGCAGTCTTCCAATTCCTGTGTTTTTGGGTTATAGCATGCCATCTTTAGTATTTATTTCCCTAAGAGCTTTTTTTTTTTTTTTCCTTTTAACAGATGTATACTCCTTTCATTGGTGTTTATTTAAAAGCCTGCCAATATATCTGAAATCAGCACATACTGAATGTTGATGCACCACCTTGCCTAATTGACTTAGCTGGAAAATAAACAGTGAAAGGCTATTTTAGTAGCAAACTACTTGATACAGCTACTCATTCCCTACCTTTATCTAAGTACCACACAGGCAGACAAGTACTAGCACCAGATAGCATGGACGCAAGGTTGCTACATGTGCTTTCGGCTGTCTTTGCCATTTTAGGGACAAACTTGGTATTGCTGTCACTGTCATTCATTGAGTCAAAAGAATAATATTTTTATCTCTGCTGCCCTAAAACCTTGATAGTATTGATAAAATGTCATTAGAATCCTCAGAGCTTATTAAAAGTTATTATTTTAAAAACAATAGGTTCCTGAATATTCACAGTAAATAAGGATTATAAGGCTATTCACGCAACGTGAATAATTTGCTGCTAATAATATTGACACTCAATCTGTCTGCAAAATGTCTCTGTTAGCAGGAAACAATCACGCTGGGAGGTGTTAGGATTTGCAGTGGAGTGGCAGAGTGAAGTAATTAAAAAATGATTGGAAAATGTATTTGAAGTTCAAAAAACATTTTTTCTGCCTCTTTAATATGGAATATTAAAAGCTAAACCAACATATTATTAGAAAGAGAAAAAAGAGTTTTCTACTATTTTTTTTTTTTTTTTTTTTTTTTTTTTTTTTTAACAACCACAAAACAATATGGGTTGTTTGCTGAAAGAGACCCAAGTTGCAACATATTGGCTAAGAAGGTGGAGAAATAAAGATCTTCATCTGCTCCCACCAAAAAAATTGTAAATCTTTGACCATGTAGTGGTACTGATCACTGGGCTGGGACACAGGGAAGCTGGGTGCAGTTTTTCAGGCAGAAAAAAGAGGAAGGTCTGTACCAGAATGAGATAAAGAAGACTTAATGAAATTGATATTTCAGTTTCAGGTAGTGTGCTCTTTCCACACAAATCTTAATTCTGACATGATCTTTTGTTCAACTTTTCACTAAATGTAATGATTATTCCTGTGAAAATATTTTGCAGATGAAAATGACCATTTGCATTTGAGTTGGGTTAAGAACTGATACATCTTTTTGAATGAATACTTTGGGGGTTTTACATTAAAGATTTTCTATCACATATTTCAGAAGTTAATATTAATTTTTGTTAATTTAGCACAAGGGTTACTCCCCTGAAGCTATTTTTGAGCTCTTATCCATCTTATTAGGGTATTAAATGACTACAGATTTTTGCCATTGATATAAAAGTGTCTTAGCATATTTATGCTACAGGTGTCCTTTATTAGAATATGATTTTTATACCATATCACTAAAAAGAATATAAGAATAGTACAATGACAAAATATAGATTTTTCATATGTCTTTGGTCATGGGGATTATTTTAAGATAAAAATAGTAAATCAAAAATAGTAGTAAAGAAGAGTCATTGTATTACATTTGATGTAAAAAACTTGATAGAACCTTTAGTGTATTTGAACAAAAAATATATTTCTATGTGTTATTGTTTATAGCTCAGAATCTTATTACAAAAATTTTATTTTACATTCTTTTATTTTGCCCTGATAAATCTTTTAATTTTTGAACTAGCTATTAAGTGTACAGACAAATTATTTATTTATTGTAATTCTCCTTTTTAGCTTATTCTGTATTTGCTTACTTGCTCACTTGCTCACAAATACTGCTGTACTCTTACTACAGTAAATTAGTAGATTTATAATATTTGACTCTGAGAGAACATGGGTTATCAGACAAAAGAAAATCCATGTCCAAGAAGGTAATTTCTAAGTCATGCTGGTATTATTTACCCAAACAGCTAGACTTCTTTTGTGTGTTACATACATAATATATATGAAGGGAAGAAGCACAGGAAAAGGAAGAATTTTGTACTTTTAATATTAATTTTCTAGAGAAATGAGACAGAACAGTTCAGGTTCAAGAAGTTTGCCTATTTGTAACCTGAAAAGCAGAAAACTCTTGGTTTGAGCCAACAAGAGGAATAGAAAGCTTTGCTGAACAGAATGGCACTCTAAAATAGCTCAGATTTGCAATTCTCATGCAAGTAAATCTCCCATTGATTTTCATGTGAGTTCTACCTCCTCCGAGCTGAAT